TTTTCACCCTCCCCAACTGAAACTTGGTATCTATTAAACTATTAAAGAATTATTCCCCATTTCACACCTGCCTATGTCGGCCCCTGGTAATCATTTTTTTTTTTTTTTTGTAATCTGTGTGATTTTGACTTCGTAGCAATCCCATATAAGGGGAATCATATAATATTTGTTCTTGTGTGACTGGCTCCTTTCACTTGGTATAATGGCCTCAAGATTCAGTTGGCCATGTTGTAGCATGTGTCAGAATTTCATTGCTTAAAACATCTTTTGGGCATGACACAGCAGCATGGAAACAAGAGAGTTGCTTCAGTTTTCCCTCTTCTCCTTGAAATGGCTTTGGAAAATGGGACCATTAGAAAATCAACAAGCTGACGGTCCAGTGGTTCATTCTTTCCCTCTTATTATTTTATTTCTTAATCATCACAGATTGAAATTGCTCAGAAGCATCCTGATATCTATGCAGTTCCGATCAAAGCCCCCAAGCCAGACCCTGGCCTGCCCCAATACACAAGGTAAGGGCTGCTTGGCAGGTACAGATCTACAAGAGGGGCTTACCTAGGACTTGGACTCCTAAGAAAGAATTTTTTTCACCTATATTTCAAAGTAATAAGATTTTTTTTTTATTCCTGATTAACCTTATTCATTTAGACAAATTTAATTGTAAAGATAACAGAATCAAAATTTCATGGTAAATTTGCTTGTGGGCTAAAACTCTGACAAAATGTAATCATTGACATTTCAAGTCAGTCCCCTTTGACACATCGGAGCACAGATATGTTAAATTGTGTTAGGATAGCACAGGAGCAAAATTGCTGGGGCCTAGCCCTGTTTTGTTGCTACTGTTTCCTGGCTTTTAGCCAAGCTCCTTAATTCGTTTCCATCACTTAGCATAGTCAGGCCACTTGTGCTGAACTGTGGTCTGAAGGGAAGGTGACAATCCATTGACCGGTATTGGTAAGATGCTGCATTTTAAAAATGCCACATAAGCACTAGGAATTACCACAGCATCTCCCTGTTGAGGTTTTACACTGGATCATTTCCTGCTTCCGAGAATAGTAAAAACAAATAAATAAATCACATTTCTTGTGGCTGTTTTGACTGGAAGCTAGAGTCTAGTTTTACAGCAATAGAAAACGAGGGGTAAGCTTCTCTACCAATTGAACAGTGCCACTTATGCCAATGTACTTAGGCCCCCCTGCCACACCCCGGTCTAGCTAGGGAATTCTTAGGTTAGGGAGCACCCTGATGGCTCCCCCCTTTACTACCCAGGTGGGCATCAGCCTTGACCTATTACTCCCATCCCCACTCGCATGACTGTGAAACTGAAGTGGGGCCAGGAGTGTCCCTGGTTTGTCAGCAGAGTGTGGCTCAGGGGTAAGCGATCTTGGGTGATGGCCCACGGTGCTTTTAGCCCTCTCATTTTTTTTTAGTTCCAGACCCCCTGAGCCACAGAAAGGTCCTTCTAGACTCTATCAAGATGCCAGAGGAAGTTATGGCAGTGATGCGGAGGAGGAAGAATACCGCCAACAGCTATCAGAACACTCAAAGCGTGGTTATTATGGCCCGCCTTCCCGGTACCGGGACACAGAATTGTAGATTTCTGAGAATTGACTTATGTACCTGCTGCCACCACCTCAGAGCGGCTCTGCTGCGGAGCCACGGGATGGTTCTTTCCGATTAAAATGCACTGTGGAAATGTGGGACCTGAGCCCCCAGCTAGGGGACAGCCAATGCAAATTCCGAACTGAAGGCTCTATTTTTGGACTGGGTCTGGGGAGATTATGGCCTTTTTGCTCAGAATTCAGAGAAACACTACAGTTTGACACTGTTACCTGCTTCAGTGGACCAAAATCTGTATTAATTCTGTTTGCGTATTTTTAACATGTATATTAAGAAATAATAACTATTTTTCCTCATTAATAGCTGTTTTTCAAGGACTGTTTCAATGTGAGACAGAATGTAAAAAAAAAAAAAAGGAATAAAAATACTGTCAGACTTCAGCTAAATTCAAAGAAATATTTTCTTACAACTCGAAGTGCCTTTGATGAGAAGTGTCTTAAATTTTCTTCCTTTGATGCTTTATGCAAAGCCATAATGGACTAAAACCTTTTGACTAAATTTTTATACCAGTTTAATAGCTATGGTTTCCTCTGCACTGTGTCATCTTTTCAAGGCCTATGTCTTTGTAATATTTTCCCACAAATTTTGTCTGTATATATAAGAGCCATTCTTGGTAGTTTGGCTATGAGTGCTAAACAGCTTGAAGACCAAGATATTGGTATAGAAATTTTGTTTGTATAAAACTATGTGCTCCACAAAAGCAGATACTCGAGAAAAACCACATTTTATTTCCAAAAGTGTGTGTGTTGACAACAGTTTTATAATTTAATAAAAAGGAGGACATTGCAATCAATTAATTTGCTTTGTGTTGGATTTCTACACTAATTCCTATTTTTCAATGCAACTTTTATTTCAGTTACTCATCATAAAAGTGAGAACATGCCCATTGCTGAACATTGGAAAATGGAGACATAGGAAAAAACAAAATAAAAATTACCCATAATCCCATTTTTCATAATTTTGGTGCATTTCCTCCAATTATACCAAGGTGCCAAAAAAATGTATACACATTTTAAAAATGGAAAAGAACTATTAAAATGACACTGATGGTAACCACTTTGAGCACCTCTTATAACTGCCAAAGTCAAAAGTGACTTGTAGCCATCTTTTGTTATTGGTGTATATGAGTATTACAATTTTAATACAGTTTTTTCCTTTCTTAAAACATGTATACATTTTTTTTTGGCACTCGGCATATTTGTGGATGTCTGTGTGTATTACATTTGGGGTAAACTGTGTTTGCAGTTTCTTAGCTTTTCTATTTAATCTGTCATGAACATTGCTCTCAGGTAGTTAAAACTCATGCAAACATCATTGCAAATAACTGTAGAATAATACGTTGTGTGACTGCTTCATAAGTAGACTGCTGCTATTAGTAGCTGTTTGTATCATTTCCAGTTTTTTGCCTCTTTTACATGAAATATATCTCTTTCTATATAATCCATTTTTGTATACCAATGATCAGCATTTCAGTCCTTTCCTGCAGGTGGGTTCTCAGAAGCGGAATTACTGAGCAAAAGCATAGGAACATTTTTAAGGCTCTTAATGTTTATTGCCAGATTGCTTCCTAGAAAAGTTGCATCAATTTGTACTCCCACATTCATTCTTTAAAGCCTAAAATATGTTTAGAATTTAAGCAAGGCAGCCTAGGCATTTAGGCATGTATGAATCAAAAGTATACTGAATTCAGGAAAGGAAAAGAGCCTTGGTTCCATTAAGGGTGTTTTATAATATGAATTGACATATAAAGGTGTTCAGCTTGTGTTTTAGTCGAGTTAGAAATTCAGCTTACTCATAAACTGAGTTGCATTATAAGTACATCCTCGGTTGTGTCTATTACTCTGGGTGCTGAAATTCATGAACCACTTAGTGCAGAACCTTGAATTTCTGAGCAGTCTTCAAGGCACTGACTCAAATCTGCATATTCCATAAATGAAAGGCACCTTTTGTGGATGGGAAAAAAACACACTGGTTAAATATATGATGATTTAATTTGCTTATGTCCTTCAAATACAGAAATAAGCCCTTTTGCAAACACAGGGAGGGGAGGAGAGGAGGCTTTTCAGCAGGAGCTGGGCTGTCATCTGAATCCAGAACTTTTTTGTGACACCTTAAGTGGTGCATAATGTCTCCATTATGTCCCATAGTGTGCCTGATGGACCACCAGTATCTGCCCACCCACTTTTAGTTCATATTCTGCTCTGTTCAGGAAAGGATTTCAGGCTGCCTACAATGTATGTGTAGGATAATTAAGAAAAAATGGGTGCTAGGACAATGAGGAAAGGGAAAAATATCAAAATAGGGAAGACAAAGCTGTGAGTGAGGGTGGTGGTCGCTCTACATGCTGACGGGACTCCTCTGCTGTCCAGAGGCCAGTGTGGGCACAAGGTGTGACTGGTATACGCTCTGATTCAGAATGTCTCCAAGGGGAAAATTGTTTGGCATTTTCTCCTCTTCCTCATTCTTTTTATTCTGTGGGGTCTTAGGTTGCATCATGCAATCATGGCCACTTGCAAGGATTATTTTGGAGGTCTGTTTCTTATTGTGTTCTTTCATGTAGGGCAGTAGCACAATTCCAAGGGCCACTCAGTGAAAGTTCTGGAAAAAGCACCCACAGCTGCAGCATAGAATCACCACTCTGAGTATGATCCGGAGATCGGTTCTGGAATACCTAGGACCAACACCTCCTAAATAGCAGTAGTAGGCGTGAAGCCCCAAGGTAAGCATGTATCCACCGTCCTGGAAAATCCACTTAAAGATTTTTTTTGGGGGTAAGGAAGTGTTGACACACACAGGGTAGCTCATACAGCAGAAGGCATACCTCCCACTAATTTGTAAGATAAGACATTGTACGTTTGAAATTTTGCACACAGCGACTCTCTGGGCTACATCCTCCATCCTCCCTTGTGGAGACTCCTGGAGTCTGCATAGTGGTCATACTTCACAAGCAGCATGGTCAGTCTCTGCCAGATACAGAAGTGTTGCATAACTTTCCGCCCAGCCCTCAGTTGACCCTAACCCTAATTGTGTTTGGTGAGTGAACAGCAGTAGTTTGGGGGCTGGGCTGGGTTTAAAATTGGGTAGCAAGCCCCAAGATCAGGCTTTGAATGGAAGCCGTTCGGGAAGTACAAGGAAGGAAACTCCACAGTGGGAGACCAGACGTTAATCTCACCAAGAAATGCAGGTGAACAGGTGAACAGGATGAAACGTGCCTCCCAGTTTTCCCAACCAGGAGACCCGGAGCTGGGCTATTTTGTTCACCAATTGGCTTTAGACTTTGAAGGCAGTTCTGCGCATGTGTGTGTGCTGACCTGCCCGCCTGCCTGCCTGTGTGGGTCAGGGTGAGGTTGTCCTCACCTCGCTTCTTCAAGCAAAGAAATATAGACAGGCCATTAAAAGACTGGAGCCCCCAGTAGTCCAAGACCTGGGAAGACGAGCCTTGGTGCTGACTGGGCTGTGAATCTACTGAGTCCTCCAGGTGAGAGGTTTTTCTGTATAGGGTCTTAGGCTGGGAGAGACAGTAGAAAAACAAGAGGCTTATTCTCTAGGGAGAGTGGAGTGGGGTGGGAAAGCTTCCGTACCTGTTAGTTAAGGTTTTCCAGAGAAACAACCAACCAAACCTCCGCAATCATGGAAAGCGAGAGAGAGAGATTGAGATTTATTTTTATTTTTTATATTTTTTAAAGATTATTGGGGAATTGGGGGGATGGGAACAGTGCTGGGGAATTGGGGGAAGGGGAACAGACAAGTTGCTGTCCTTTTGTTCTTCAGTCTAG